CTCCCAGTTATATATACCTATTTCTCAATTCTCTATTTTCCAAGTGCATCGTTCTTAAACATAAATTTCTTAAACGCAGTGGGTATGGGTGTAATAGCTGCCTCCTGCCAATATGGTGAATCTGATTTAAACACGTGTAGTCAAGAATAAGGCAAAAAATTATTCTCAGTGCAATAGTAGAAAATTTACATGATATATCGGAAGTATTTACATTTAGAATGAATGTATAGGATTTTACTAAACTAAGCAATAGTTACGTTACCGTTCTTGGTAAAATTAAAGAAAACTACTTAATTATATATTGATGCCTCTGCCTATATTGCTTTTAAAGCATTTTCCCTTTTAAATTNGAAGCCCTATAACACACACTACCTTACAAGGAAAGAACCAAATGAATATTTAGAGAAAGAAAAAGATAGTATTAATCAAACAAATAAATTCCTGCTCAAATCATTATTTATTTCTAATTTCACGTGAAGTAGGGTCTAGTATAGAATAAACTTGTTTATATTTTAGTAAATTATAATTTTAGGAAAGAGAAAGATTAAAATAAATGGAAAGGCATTCTGAATCTAACAAAGAGGACAAAAAGGTAAAACAAGCAGCATATGATTCAAGAAAGAAAGGAAATATTCTATGAAGTGGGTAAGAATTCGAGATAAACATCTGACAATGTTAGCCTTTGAAATGCCCTTAAATACTAAGAAGCCGGTAATCCCTGACTAAGGGGCCTATGGGTTCTCTGTTTTCAAAAATTACTTCAATTTAGATATAGCTTGAATTAAGAATTTTTTTTAAACATGTGGTTTTAAAAGTTTAAGGAGTAAAAGTTTTGTGGGGCATAACATTTATATGGTTATAAAAGCTTCTAATTAAGAGTGAAGCGAGTAAAAAAGAAAATGTTAAAGTTGAATTATTTCTAAATATAAAAATGTGTCATTCAATTTGAAACAGACTAATAAGAAAATTGTATCATTTAAATTGAAACGGATAGAGTAATTAGTTTTTGAAGCATTAATTAAAAGAAAAGAAGGGTGAGCATGAACTAGATTACCAAATAACGATGGTAGTGATCAACAGCAACATCTCCATTGCTTCCATCCTTAACATGACCTGCAACAAGACCAGTACATGAGTTCCTTTTTCTCTAAAAACACAATAATAGAATTCGTGTTGCAAACATTGAAAGAAAGAAATTGACATTATTATGAAAGCTCACCAGCTTCATGGGTAAAAAAGTCCCAGTTGCTGAGGCCTTTCCCATCACTGAGGAAAGCTCCTTCATACTGCAGAGAAAACAAGAAGAGCGGTTAAAAACAAAAAGGTAAAAACAAAAAGGTAAAAACAAATGTGAGAAGAACCTGGTAAGATGAAGAGGCCGTTCCAAACAAGAAATTGCTCGACAATGAAACTTGGTCTGTTAGATGACATGACACCATGAAACCAGAAAAGGAGATAAAAATTGCTAAGCAGGTGTGCCAAAACACTGCAGGTTCCATGTTAGTTAGTAAGTCAAAAGTACACTTGCTTTTTCAGTGGAAATGACGAGAAGATAATTAGTTGCGGCAAGAAGAAAAAGCAACATCTCTCACGTTTAAATAGAAATAGTCTTAGAGAAAATGGTCAGAAATATCACAATGAGCACATGACTATTCCACACAAGCACCACTCTGTCGCAGTGCGAGCTGACGTAAATAAAAATTCAGCACATGCTTAACCTACCAATATCAAATCAATACATTGTCTGCTCATGAGCTGCATTAATCAAACATTGACACAACAATATTCTTACAAAAATGAGAAGGATATCTATAGTATATACGGAAAACGTCCAACAATATCCTTGAACTATTCGAAATAGCTCAAAAATATTCTCCGTTTGTTTTTGGTGCCAAAAATATCCCCGCCGTATATGTTTTGGCCCAAAAATACCCCTAAAACATTAGTTTTGTCATTGAAGCTGACATGACAGTCCGACTAGGTTAGAATTGCTTACATGGTCGTCCACCTAAGCAATCCATACGTGAAAATTATTTTTTCGGAAATTTTATTCTTCCAGAATTTTTTAATAAAATACAAAATCAACATTTATTCTGGAAAAGTTAAAAAATTTCGAAAAAAAAAATTATTTCAGAATTTTTTAATTAAAATACAAAATCAACACTTATTCCGAAAAAAGTAAAAAATTTACAAAAAAATTATTCTTGATTGGGGTTTATGATTTGATTAAAAAACTTCATTGTTCTCTTTTGTGAATTTATGATTATAGATATCGAGAATTCATATAACCGGCCCCAACTTATTTAGGATTTAGAAATCGGTGTCTTTGTTGTTGTACAAATAAAGTTTTAATTTTTTTCTTGTAAACGTTGTGTGTTAATTTTTTTTTTTTGGAGCTAAAGAATGGGGTCGAAATTATACATGGATAATGTTCTAAGACATAACTAGCTATTACTGGATTCAAAAGCATTCAAAGACATAACTCCGAAATTCACAAATTAATCATAAATTCACAAAAGAGAACAATGGAGTTTTTAAATCAAATCATAAACCCAATCAAGAATAATTTTTTTGTAAATTTTTTACTTTTTTCGGAATAAGTGTTGATTTTGTATTTTAATTAAAAAATTTCGAAATAAATATTTTTTTCAAATTTTTTTACTTTTTTCAGAATAAATATTGATTTTATATTTTATTAAAAAAATTTGGATAAATAGAATTTTTGAAAAAAATAATTTTCACATATGGATTCCTTAGGTGGACGACCATGTAAGCAATTCTAACCCAGTTGGACTGTCATGTCAGCTTTAATAGCAAAACTAACGGCTTAGGGGCATTTTTGGGCCAGAATATAGATGGCAGGGATATTTTTGGCACCAAAAACAAACGAAGGATATTTTTGAGCTATTTCGAATAGTTCAAGGATATTTTTGGACCTTTTCCGTAGTATATATCTTTGTTTTTATATTCAACATGTGAATATTTAGTTATTAGTATATTTTTAATCGTTTAGTGAGAAGCAATTAATTGTAAAAATCTTCAAGTTAATTCATAGAAGGTTAAAGACAAATTATGTATCTCATTTTAACATGAGATTAACTTGATCTAAATTAAAATTGGAACAATGTAAATGAGAAAAGCCATATAAAAATCTTCCTTATCCCTCCCCCACCCCCCACCCCCAACTCTGTTCAATTTTACGTCCCTTGTCAATTTCTATGTTTTTACAGGCATGGAAAAACGTAAATTATATAGCTGGATAAAGGAAATCTTGTTGATTAAGCGCTAAAAAAAGTTCATAAATCAATTGTTTTTTTTTAAAAAAAAAATAGCACTAAAAAACCAAATTGGAAATTAATATGTAAAAGAGAAGAAACTATCTTACATGTTATTTTGCATATTGTCATAAATTAATCTCATCAAATATGTACTCCTTTTATCGTTAACCGGTATTCCTTTTCTTTTCTAGGAACATAAAACATGAAAGTGTTTTTATATGACACTTCAAAAGAAAAAGAGAATGTAAATTCTATGTACATATATACAGAGGTTGAGTTGTCACACTAAATATGCTGAAAAGTTGCTGATGTGTTGGATCCGCCGAGGTGCTAATTACAACGTATAAATATACTATTATGGCTGTTGAAAAAGATACAATTTTTCACCGAGAGATAATGACTATGGTTAATTACACAAATATTTCTTGCATCATAAGAGGATTTTTAGACAGTAAAAATCATAAATTCATCCTCTTTATAACCATAACTAATGGTAATTTAAGTAGTGGTTTCAATGGTATTCCGCAAGGAAAAAATTGTGTTAAGAATTGAGTTTTGATGATTAACAATTGTGTACAATAAACGTGTGCTAAGAACCAAGTTCTCAAAGTAGCTGTTGAAGATCCATACAGGACGCTGTAACTTTTATACAAAGTTAAAGTAGTCCGATATTGCTGGGAAGGACTCTTGATGCAATAAGGATTGTTGCCTCGGATATCTGGTCGATATGAGTCACAAGATTTGTGGAGTCCTCAGGAGTTCAGAATTTGCAAGAAAACGAGAGTTTGACTGTGTGTAGGACTCCCAAAGATCTCGGAGCATTGGGAAGTTAAATACTTTATCTATGGACTGTTGAAGTCTATCCTTTTGCACATCAATTGAAGAACATACAACAATATTTTTAGTTCAACACTCAAGTCTCTCATCAAATGTGTTCTAAAGGTTATTTTCTTGAGTCAGTTTAGTTTATGTGTATTAGAAAATTTATTATAAGTTGTAATCAAAATGTTATTCAAACAATGTTAGTTAGTGTATTGTCAGAGGGTGCAAGTTAGAGTAACTTGTAAATTCATACAATAAGTAGAAGTAGGAGAAGTGTGAGGGTATTGGATTATAAGTGTTGTAATCAGTACATTTGGCTCAATTGTTCTAGTGAAGCTGAAGTTAAAATTCTGCGTGGCAGGTCGTAGTTTTGCACCTTTTAGCCGGGTAATTTTTCACGTAAAAAATACTGTTCTTACTTTACTGCTTATTTTATTTACGCGTAAAGAGAATGACAAAGAACCAAGTTTTTTAGTAATTTAGGAAGATACTCAAATTAACAATTGATATCAGAGCAGGTTCTCTTAAACGTGATTAACACATAGCGAGATCTTAGAAAAAATTGAGTGCTCTACCTAGAATCAACGAAGGATAGTCAACTACTAGACTACCTTTGTTTAATAGAAAGGCAAGAATGAGGGATTTCCTAACAGCCGAGAACTATGAACTATGAACTATAGTTAATCGAGGAACATGGATTCACACCAAACAAAATGCAAAATAAAATTGTTCCCAAAGGCCCTTCTCAATTTGTCGCAGTAGACTTCAAGATGATGGAAAAGAATGTCAAGGCCAAGAAGAGTCTCATTTGTAGGCTTGGTCCTTAAGATTATAATAGGATATCTGCCTGCTCTAATGCAACGGAGATCTGGGACACACTTCAAACTACTCATGAAGGAACCAATTAGGTCAAGAGATTAAGAATTGAGTAGCGTATGAGAAACTATGAGCTTTTATCTATGAGGGATTTGAACCTATCCAGGAGATGATGACCAGGTTCACTATCATAAGAAATGAACTAAAGTCGTTGGGAAAGGTATTTACCTCTGAAGAATCGATTAGCAAGGTTCTAAGGATTCTCCTTGCTTTATGGGAATTAGAAGTTATAGCCATTCAGGAAGCAAATGAGTTGGACAAGATATCACTAGATGAGTTGATTGGAAGCTTAAAACTCATGAGATGAGAAAGCTGCAACTACGCAAGGAGGAACCAAAGAGAGATAAGACACTGGTTCTTAAGACATCTAAAGAAAATGAGTATGACAATGATGATCTAGACCTAACCACATTTGCTAAGTTCAAAAGGTTCATGAAAAACTCCAAAAATGCACCAAAAAGAGAAATCAATGGCAAACCTAAGCAGATTGACAAATCCTCTTATAATGGGTGTTACAAGTATAACAAACTGGATCACATGGTCTGATACTATCCAATGTGGAAAATTGAATAGAAGAAAGAAAAAGCTGAGAAAGAAAGAGGGGATAAGATGAAGGAGCGAGACTTAAACAAAAGTAAAATTCTAGGCAAGGGATTCATTGAGGCCATGAAACAAGCTATCCTAGAAGCATATGAAGATAGTATAAGTGACAAAGATGAGAAGAAAGAAGACGAGGCCATCAGTCTTTATGTTGTAATTGACTCACACGAGGTCATTGAGGCTGAGCCTCCTGTACAGCTAGGAATGCATTTTGGAAGACCCTCTCCTTTTGAGGGACACCACTATGATGAATGAAAGATGCGTATGAAAGTGTTTCTTCAGGCAACTAATTTTGATTTATGGATAATTGTTAATCATAGACCAATCATACCTACTAAAGTGGGACAAGATATCACTAGATGAGTTGATTGGAAACATAAAACTCATGAGATGAGAAAGCTGCAACAACGCAAGGAGGAACCAAGGAGAGATAAGACACTGGTTCTTAAGGCGTCTAAAGAACACAAGCCTGACAATGATGATCTGGACCTAACCATATTTTCTAAGTTCAAAATGTTCATGAAGAACTCCAAAAATGCACCAAAAAGAGAAAGCAATGTCAAACCTAAGCAGATTGACAAGTCGTCCTATAATGAGTGTTACAAGTATAACAAACTGGATCACATGGTCAGAGACTATCCAATGTGGAAAATTGAATAGAAGAAAGAAAACGGTGAGAAAGAAAAAGGGGATAAAAAGCAAGACTTAAATAAAAGTAAAATTCTAGGCAAGGGATTCATTGAGGACATAAAACAAGCTTTCCTAGCAGCATATGAAGATAGTATAAGTGACAAAGATGAGAAGAAAGAAGACGAGGCCATTAGTCTTTATGTTGTAATTGACTCACACGAGGTCATTGATGCTGAGCCTCCTGTACAGCTAGGAATGCATTTTGGAAGACCCTCTCCTTTTGAGGGACACCACTATGATGAATGAAAGATGCGTATGGAAGTGTTTCTTCAGGCAACTGATTTTGATTTATGGATAATTGTTAATCACAGACCAA